GGCCGCTGCCCGCTGCCCCCGGCCCGGCCCCGCCCTACCCGGCCATGCCCGCCCTGCCGCCTCCCCGCGCCGCGGCTGTGGGATCCGGTTACGCGGCGATTGTTCCCCGCCGCACGAGCCCCCTCCCCTGCGGGAGGCAGAGCCGGGGGCCGGGCTCCATCTGCAGGAGCTCCCCGGGATGGCCGCCCCCGCAGCCCCCCCTCCCAGGCCGCCTGGGCCTCAGTCGCTGCCCCGAGGAGCTGCCTGGAGGGGCGGCAGGGACTGGCCTTCGGGCTGCACCCCGCTCTTTGTCACTGCAGCTGCCCCCTCCCTCAGTGCTGAGGGACAGCGCCCCCCAGTGCCCAGCAGCAAGCGGCCCCTTCCCGCCAGGGGCCTCTGCCCCAGACAGGCCCTACCCGCACGTGGAGCCTGAGAAGGGACAAGCCCGAGCCCAGGGCAGGCCCCCAGGCTGGCCCGAGCCAGGTGGGGCCTGCGGGGGTTAGGGCTGGTCGCCACAAGGTTGGCAGTGGCGTGGTGCTGGCCACAGCCGCCTGGGGCTCTAAACAGACCAATGCCACCTTCCTCGCCTCGTCTACAAGCCCAGTGGTGTTGACATGGCACAGGGCTGCAGGCACCTTGGCTCTACTAGGGCTCTGGGTACGTCTCCCAGCAGAGCTGCGTGGTGGTTAGCTGACAGTGGGATGTCTTCTTGGACGCGCCCACCAGCCATCTGCTCCCTCCACCCCATTGTCTGGCTGAGGGACCGCGGGTCAGAGCAGCACGGGGGCCTTCTCCCTGCCAAGGAAGTCATCTGCGTTTGCACCTGCCAGGGCCAGCAGCTCCCTCAAAGACAGTTGCATGACGGAGAGGTGGGGGAAGGGAGAGTTAACTCCAGGCAAGACCACACACAGCCCCATGCCTGCTGCATGTACACCCTGGCATACACAAACACTGCAGCTCCCACGTATGCATGCACACACACACACACACTAGTGTCACCCCTCCCACCACTACATGCACATGCACACACTAATGCCATAATTGCCAGCAGTGCATGCACACATGCTCACATATACATAGACGCTAATAACAGACCATACACCAATACACAGGTGTGCTCACACACAAATACCACACCTTGCTGCTAACACATGCACACACAGTCCGACACACACAAATCCCACACTGCAGCTAAGGCATTCCTAGGGGCACACATTAATGCCATGCTCTCCACTAATACCGGTATATCTATACCCGCGCTGAACCATACCTCCCTTCTAATCCGCGGACACACATTATATACCTTAATACCCAAGTGCCCATTAATGCATTAGCCCACAGGCACTCTAAAACCACATCATCCATTAATGCATGTGCACACAGATGCACATGCACGCACGCACACTCTATTGGACTGCCTCCCAATAATCCATGTGAACACAAATAACACACATCTACTAATGCGTGTACATGCAATACACAAACATTTACATGCTCCCACTGATGAATATGTGGACACAGGTCTACATCTCTACACGTCCTCTTGCTGAAAGGGAGACACCCTGTTTACCGCTTGTCAGCCCCAGCCCAGTGCTGTGCCCTACGCTTTGCAGTGACCTGGTTAAACCATGCGCTAACTTTTATAGAAGCTGCCTGATGAATATTAACAAGACCCTGTGAAGTTTCCTGGTGCTACTGCCTAGGACCTGCACTGCCTGTGACGTGCCCTGACTGACAAGTGCTGAGGGCAGACCACCCCGCCTTGCTAATTCAGCAGGGCCTGGGGGAGAACCTGGGGATGCTACTGATCCACAGCCACTTGGGTCACCTTCCACTGACCCAGCCCTACAGTAGGGATCCACATGCTAGGGGCTGCAGAAGGGAGGCACCCCTGGGACATCGTGGGGATATTTTTGCTATAGGGGTTCCCTGTTGTGTAATTCCAAGGGAAAGCCACATATCAGCCCTGAGCTTCTGCCAGCTTCTATGTGACGGCTGTGGAGGCTCTGTCCACACTTCAAATACAATGATGGCTGGCATCTCCACTCAGGGCACCCGGGAGACCCACTTTGCACTGTACACCGCAGACCCATTTGTACACAGCTATGGGGGCTGTGAGCTGGTACCCTGCCCTGGCTGTATTACTCAGCACAGATCAATCTGAGCCACTGCACTCTGGCGAGAAGGGAAGGTTAAGGCCAAGTTAACAGCCTCCTTCCATGTGGAGATGTTTGAAGAAAAATAACCTGCCTCTGTTGTCATCTCCCAGCAGTTGCCTCCTTGCCAGTCCCTGACCTCTTGCCCTATAATCCAAGTTGATGGAAGCAGGGATGGCCAGGGCCAGCAACGCACTCTTTCACTATGACCACAACTTGGAGGTCACTAATGGCACAAGGGGAGATCTCCCTTGACTTTCAGCCTGATCCATTTTGCAAATTGCCCCTGATGTCTGGATATGGAGGAAACATTTGGGGCCAGATGTCAATGGAGCACTAATAGCACCAGTCCTGACCCTTACCACTCCCACCCTTCTAGCCCTTTTCTCTTCACCCACACAGCTCTGCCAATGCTCCTCAATCCCAGCACTTAAAACCGACTGTAAGGGTAAGTAATGGGGGTCCTGATAGTCTTCCTAAT